TGCCCCATGGTTGATGTCAGTGGAAGGAATAGTGCCCCATGGTTGATGTTAGTGGAAGGAATATTGCCCCATGGTTGATGTCAGTGGAAGGAATAGTGCCCCTTTGTTGATGTCAGTGGGAGAAATAGTGCCACATGGTTCATGTCAGCAGGAGGAATAGTGCCACATGGTTGCTGTTAGGGACGCACTGATACCAGTTTTTCTGTATCGAGTATGAGTACCAATATTTTGTTTTTATACTGGTGCCGTGTGCCCTGATTATCAGGAAGTCGTGCTGCGACCATGACCCTTCCTGATTGCTTGGAAGCCGGTGTTCTATTGAAAGAACACCGGCTTGGATGGTTAGGAAGCTAAGTTGCCTAGCAACAAGTAAAGCCGGTTTCCTAGCCAATCAGGAAGCCGGGAGCCAAGTCATAACCCACTGCCAGGCTTCCTGATTTGAAAGGAAGTCGGCTCCATGTTCCCTCGCGGCACTGCCGCTCAGAGGAAATCTCCCTCTGACCGTAAGTTCTGGTATCGGGGGTAAGTATCGGAGCATTTGAGCGAGTATGAGTACACGCCCAAATATTCGGTATCGGAACCGATACCAATAATAGTATCTGTATTGGTGCATCCCTAATTGATGTCTTATATCGGAATAGTTCCACATGGTTGATGACAGTAGAAGGAATAGTGCCACACTGTTGATGACAGTAGAAGGAATAGTTCCACATGGTTGATGACAGTGGAAGGAATAGTGCCACATGGTTGATGACAGTAGAAGAAATAGTGCCACACGGTTGATGACAGTAGAAGGAATAGTGCCACACGGTTGATGACAGTAGAAGGAATAGTGCCACACGGTTGATGACAGTAGAAGGAATAGTTGATCTTAATACAAATTCATAAACGATATATTGTAGGGATGCACCGATATATCGGCCGCCGAAACATATCGGCCGAAAATGGCACTTTTGGCATAATGCCGAAAGAGCCATGTTTCGGCCGATACATCAGGTCATCCCTGGTTTCTCTTCTCCCCGCTGGGCGCTGTTCCAGCGGGGAGAAAAGAAAGTGAGAGACGCCGAGCGCTGCAGGAGTCAGGACGAGAGCGCTGTGAGCTGCGGCATCTCTCCTCCCACACCGCTCAGCCGCCTATCACAGTCCGGCAGAGCGGTGTGGGGGCGGAGACAGCGCTGTCACAGGAGGCTGGGCATTCCTATCTACACGGCTCGATCAGCCTCCTGTGACAGCGTGTCAGAGAGAAAAGCAAGGTACACACACTCAGTGATCAGTGATTGCTGAGTGTGTGCACATAATTGAGGATATGGCATGTTAACTATATCCTCAATTATGAATGAATGGGAGTGATCTACATCACCCCCATTCATTCATAATTGTGGTTATAGTAAACATGCCATGTACTCATGTTATCAATGAACAGGAACACTCATAGAGGATTCCTGTTCATTGATAACAGGGGACACAGAAAAAGAGATTGAGGACTCTGTTCTCAATCTCTTTTTCTATTTTAAAAGGGAAATATCAGGGATCCGTTTAGACCGCTAATATTTCCCCGAAGCCCCTAAAAGAAAAGTTTGCCTGGATGGGAAGGGGGTTTAACACCGCGGATGTCAACTGGTTAATTCTGTTTTTTTTTTGTACAGAGTGAGAGCAGAGATCGGGGCAATGATTGGAGCAATGATCTGAACAGTAATCAAAATAGTGATTGAGGAAATGATAGGGGCAGTGATCGGAACAGTGATGGGAGTAATGATCGGAGCAGTGGTCAGACCCAACGCCTCTTTCCCGATCTCTGGAGCAAATCACACCGAGAATGACAGGCGGCAGGTCACATGACAGCTGAGCCCCTCCCCTTGGCTGAGTGTCAGAGCCCGGGGGACACCTGTCTGATGTGCAGGTTTTGGGAGCCGCTGTTGTTGTCACAGTCAGCCTCTTTCCTTCATATGATATATATGTAACTCCCTAGCAGAGGGCTGGCACACACGATCAGCCCATCCTCTGCTGTCATGCTTAGCCTGCAGCATCCTATATCCCGGATCTGACTTCTCCCAGACAAGTTGCAGTGTGTGATCTCGGGGGAGCGCAGCGCAGGGGGATCCTCACCCCGGGGTATACCCTCATGTCAGCCTAGGAGGACCCCATCGTATGTAGAGGAGGGGAAGGGGAAGGAGGAGGAGGAGGGAGGACTTCGGATCTCTATTCTCTCTGCCACCCAGATGCGTTCCTTGCTGGACCGTAACAAGAACAAGAAGAGCTCTGCTGCGGGGCTGGATGTGGCATTGGGGCTGGTCCCCCAGCAGCAGCAGCCCAGGATGTTCAGCTGTGTGTCCGGCTTCTGGGTGCTGCTCTCCGCCTGCCTGGTGGCTGTCTGCAGCTTCAGCTTCCTCTCCCCGGCTTGGATCGTCAGATCGGCCGATTATGACAGGCTGGAACCGATCAGCTTCGGGCTCCTGTGGCACTGCTCGGAGAGTATGGACCACATGCCGAGCTGCTACACCTTCGGAGGACTGGGCAGGTTTAATGATATCCCTTCCAGCTCATGGCAGGTCAGTAGTACCACTTACTATGGGGGGCAATGTGCCCAATGCTGGGCTGATCAACCTGGGGTACAGTTGGGGGGATCCTGATTATTATTGTTATTATTATTGTCATTTTTATATTTATTATTATTGTCATTTTTATATTTATTATTTTTCTTCTTCTTATAGTTATTGTATTGTTATTTTTTTTAATGGTGTCCTTATTATTGTTGCATTTATACTACTTTTTTCTTATTGTAGTTTTTATGTATCTTCTTCTTCTTCTTCTTCTTCTTCTTCTTAATAATAATAACAACAATAACAACAACAATAGTAGTAGTGATAATAATAATAATCACGGCTTGGTTTTGCCATACATACTTATTATGAGCCCATGCATATGGTTCAGTGAGTCCTCTGGGTCCCATCGGACTAAATATTGTCTAAATATTTCAGCAGGTCCTAAGACTTCAGTTACGCTTGCCACTTGTGTTTTTGTCCTCTATATGCAGAGGAAAATCTATCAGGCTAGATGCTGTATTTATGCTTCTAGATGCTTTAAATGACACACGGTTACATGCGTTTACATGCATATGCATTTACATGCACCTGGTACCAAACCCTACCATCATAAATGATTCCTATGCAGGAAAATGCAGGTAAACTGACCGCAGAAAAAGCATCTAGGTCTGAATATACCCATTGGAATTTATAAGATGTAAAAATAGGCATTTACAAATGCTTTTTAAATGCATATAAAAGCATCTAATCACACCTAGTGTGAATGAAGCCTTAGTGTCTAAGCAGGTCCTTAATATCTCCGTGGGTCCTTATTGTCTAAGCAGATACTCAATATCTCACCTGGACCTTATTGTCTAAGCAGGTCCTCAATATCCCAGGGGTTCTAATTGTCTCAGCGAGTCCATAATGTCTAAGCAGGTTCTCAATTTCTCAGGGGTTCTCGGTTTCTCAGCAAGCCCATATTGTCTATGCAGGTTCTCAATTTCTCAGGGGTTCTCAGTGTCTCAGCAAGTCCATATTGTCTAAGCAGATACTCAATATCTCACCAGGTCCATATTTTCTAAGCAGTTCCTCAATATCTCACCAGGACTTTATTGTCTAAGCAGGTCCTCAGTTTCTCAGGGGTGCTCATTGTCTCAGCGAGTCCATATTGTCTAAACAGGTTCTCAATTTCTCAGGGGTTCTCAGTGTCTCAGCAAGTCCATATTGTCTAAGCAGGTTCTCAATTTCTCAGGGGTTTTCAGGGTCTCAGCGAGTCCATATTGTCTAAGCAGATACTCAATATCTCACCTGGTCCATATTTTCTAAGCAGTTCCTCAATATCTCACCAGGACCTTATTGTCTAAGCAGGTCCTGAGTTTCTCAGGGGTTCTCGGTGTCTCAGCAAGTCCATATTATCTAAGCAGGTACTCAATATCTTACCAGGTCCTTATTGTCTAAGCAGGTCCTCAATTTCTCAGGGGTTCTCAGTGTCTCAGCAAGTCCACATTGTCTAAGCAGGTCCTCAGTTGCTCAGAAGTTTTTTATTTTTTTTGTCTAAGTGAAGCCTCAATATCTCAGCAGGTCCTTTGTGTCTTAGGTCTTAGCAAGTTCTTACGGTCTAAGCAGGTCTTCAATACCTCAGACGGATCTGTGTCTCAGCGAGTTGATATTGTCTAAGCAGGTCCTCAATACTTCAGAGGGTCCTCAGTGTCTCAGTGAGTCCTCAATGCCTCCGTTTGTCCTCACTGTCTCAGCAGTTCCTGTCACTGCCTCAGCAGTAGGGTCCTTATTGTCTCAGTGTGTTCTCAATGTCCCAACAGGTCTGCAATATCTCAAGTTATCAAACCCTCCAGCACCCATAGCAAGTCTACCTTTTGACTCCACAGCCATGTGGTGATACATGTGCATGTCCTTCTAGGACCTCTTTGGCAAACAATTTTCTGATAAATGTATGCGATTAATATTTGTATTGATACTATTCATTATATTAGTTCCTTTTTTTAATGTAATCTTGTAATTTTTCCACACATTCCCATGCAAACTAACTCTCCTGCAGAAACAACAGTAATGGGGGTTGGGATAAACTACAACAGTATCCGGGGTGCTTGTGCAGTTGCAGCAACATTTATTTTTATTAAGAAGATTTATTGTATTTGATTAAAAATATGACAAACTGTTGATTAAGCTGCTTATGTATCCCTGGAGGTGTCATAGTTTGTCCCAGCTTGGCTGGCAGAAAAATAAAGACATGAAATTAAAAAGGAATATATATATACTAAATTAATTACAATTTAATTGTAATTCATTTACATGTTGTATTTAATTCACATTTAATTACATATAGTGTCTTTACACAGTTATCAGAATAAAATACTCGTATGATATTATTTCTATAACACTTCCTTTCATTTTCTCCATGTGATAGTGGAGGTATTCTGCCTATCAAATAGAGATTTTCCAACAAGTTGGATGTATTGGAAGTATACATTATCACCCTCTAGGGAAGGACTGTACACAGCCTGATTCTCTCCTAATCATTCCAGGTGACACTATAATCAGACTGCAATCAGGCTCTATGTAGACAGCATTAGATACGTATGGAGAATGGTAATCTGAGAATCACACAAGATCTGTCAATTCCCAATCCACACTTGGCTGGCATAACCAGGTAGACCTTACTGACAAGCATGAGATCTGCTGGAAGGGTGATGATTGTAAGGACATGATTGGGTGAACTTTTCCTTCCAGCTCAGTGCGTAACCAAAATATCCTTACCATATGAACAAGAAAAAAAGAACAATCATGTTATGAGTTGGGGAGATTTTGCAGAATGACAGAAAATCTTTACAAGTTCCCTATTGATTGGACAACAGACGTCCCATGGTCCAGTTATCAGTACGAATGCTTAACTCATATAGATAGATCGATTATAGACAGATAGATTATATGTAGATAGATAGATAGATACATAGAGATAGATAGATAGATAGATAGATAGATAGATAGATAGATAGATAATAGATAGATAGATAGATAGATAGATAGATAGATAGATAGATAGATAGATGCATAGATAGATAATAGAGAGATAAATGAATGAGAGAGATAGGGGGTAGAATGAATGATAGATTATAGGTAGATAGTTAGATAATAGAGAGATAGAATGAATGATAGAAAGATTATCGATAGTTTATAGATAGATTTATTGCACCGTGGGCCTTTGGGTTGTACTTGCCCCTGGGCTAAAAGTTGCCAGTCAGCCCCTGCTGTATTCCACAACTGCCGGACGCCGAGAGCTGATTAAATTGCTCATGGCATCGGCGCCAGGCCGTTGCGGTATGGAGGATTGTGGGCGGCGTTGGACTACATGTCACATCCGCGGGGTGCCAATGCCATCCGCAATTAAATCAGCTCATCGGTGCCCAGCGGTTGCAACATGCAATGAAAATTATTAGTGCCCCCCCAGATTTGACTGTTGTATCTTATGTGCCCCCCCTACATATTGTTCCTAGAGTCGCCACTGTACCCTTGTAATTAGTAGATGGGTGTGTGTTTGGGAATTGTGCAAAATGCTGGGACTGACTTTATAAGTCCTTACTGACCGCACTGTGCCAGTACAAAGTGCTGCACTCTGAGCTCTGCTAATTAGCAAACCATATGAAGTGGGGAAGAAGAGATGAGCTACGGGGAGAGAAGCATTAGTATTGCACTCCTGTGTCTGGAAGCATTGGTGTGTTCCGTGCCACTGGCCTCTTAGACTTCTGTAGGAAAAGAGAAAGTATGTAACAACATATAACGTGGAGCTTGTCATCATACATCGGACATGTTTTCATGTCAGGAGGTGGAGTGGGATGGGGAACCCTAGATTAAGAGCTAATTCTATAATAAATGTAAGCACACACAGACTACAACACTTTGCAATTCTTAAGAAGCCGATCAAGCCAGAAATGTAGCTTTTTGTGTTTTTTTAAATTTATACATAATCGTAGAGTGATGACTTGCATACTATGGTGGATAGATTTAGGATGAAGAGCCTTTGTGTGATCAGATGTTACACTATGTTGTTTTCGAAGCCTAATTAAACTTTCAGTCTAAATCTGCTAAATACATTCCAGGTCCATCAAAACTAAAGGTGTTCAAAGTCTTACAGTTGGTTTTAATAAGAAAGCAGCAACAGGCCGAGTAGAAAAAGCCTGTCTCCTGCCAGCACGCCGCACAGGAGGACCCTTACTCTCTTTGTGAAAGCAGTGGTCCCTTTGCAGTAGTCCAACACCCCCCCTGCTGAGTCAAATCTATAACTCATGATCTGTGCTGATTGGAAAGCTCTAGCTCTGACCCGGCATGAGGTGCGCTTCACCTGTGCAGAGAGGCCACTCACACAGAGAGCAATTGTCCTTCTCTACAATATGCTGGCAATGGACAGTAGTCTTTTCTACTCAGGCTGTGGCTGCTTTCTAAAGAAAATCACCTGTAACTATGTACTATGCACTATGATCCCCCTGGAATGGATTTAGCTGATTTAGCTGATTGATCTTTACACTGCCTACATATTGTCCAGCAGGATGGCAGCACACAAGGAATCTTCTCCGAATGTATCTTTATTTCATACTGCTGGGCCACTTTTAGCTGTGGTTTGAGTTTCTATCACTTTTCCATGTATCTTTCCATTGTAAAGTTGACCATACAACACTCAAACTCGAGCAGTGGTTGGCCCTGCCAGTAGCACTCCATTCGACAAAGTAAATTTTTTCAATTAACTAACAACAATTAACTTCAGTTATCGAAGGTGTTGGGAAAAAAACAGTCAGCCCAACAGTGACTGCAGCTAAACAGTTGCCGTCATTGTCCGGGTATACTGACAGCTCTGGGGGCCGGTTGTCAGAATACAATAGCCCGGCAGAGGAAATTCCCCCTTCCATGCTGTTTAGTGTGGATGGGAAGATTGATAGGGTTATTCACAAAAGGGTGAAGAGTTTGGAGAAGGCAGGAGAAGGGAACAATCTAGGACAGTGGTGGCGAACCTA